ACCTCTGAGACTTTGGGCTCATCGCTGTAAAATTACACTTACCTGTAAAATAAGAGTTAGCCTTAGATAACCTCGAAGGTCCTTTGCAGCTCGAAATCTATGATTCTAGGTGTCTCTAGCATTCTGGATTTCAGTTTACAAAGCTTTTTCACATATATGGTGGCAGTGTAGTGAAGGAAGTAGAGCACTGAACTTGGAGGCAGAAAATCTGGATACAAATTTTACCTCTTAATACTTACGAGCTATCTGATTATAGGCAAGTCAGTATCCTTCTCTGAGGCTCAGTTTCCTCAATGGGGATAATGCTCCCTCTAGCTCTTACCTTGAAGGAGTGTTGTGAGGCTCAAATGAGAATCACGAGATATGAGGTGGATGGGCCTTCAGAGGCCACACCTGAAAAAGAATCCCCAACAAGTGGCCATCTTTTTGGATGCATACTATGTTACTGGGTGTGTGAGCTATAGAAAATTTAATAAGCACACCATTTATGCCTTTATCCAAGCCATTGACAACAAATTTCAAACAGTAGGAGGCCAAATACCTTTCTCTGGGGCATTTCACTGTACGTCTCTTTCTAGGCTGACATCATACCATTACTAACTATCTACTCTTTAGGGTAAGCCATTCCACCAGTTCTGAATCCATCTAATTGCACTATCTTTTAGTTCACATGTTTCGATCTCATGCCACAAGAATAGCATGAGAGACTTTATCAAATACTTTGCTAAAATTGATAGAAACTTTACCTCATTTCTCTGATTTAGCTTTTGTGAACTTTGTTGCAAAAGGAATTAGTCTGGCATGACCTGTTCTTTTGTTTTATTTATGCTTTGTATTTCTTCTGTCACTAAGGATCATAGAGCTATGCCCAACGCCCTCATCTTCAAGATGAATTGGGGACGTACGTTATATATGGGATTTTCCCAAGCTCACACAGGCAGTAAGCTTCAGAGGCAGAATTTGAACTTAAGTCCTCTGATCCCAGAGCCAGTACTTTCTCTACTCTGCCTCCCCAAGGACAACTTCCCTCATGTCCCCCCAAAATAGATCCCTCCCTTCTAAAAGTGAAGTATAGTTAAGCACAACAAACCGACACATTGACCATGGTATGACTAACTGCTCTTGGTGAAGCCATGCTGATTCTTTGTGATCATTGCTTCATTTTCTAAATGTTCAGTAACCATCCCTTTAATAAGGTGTTCTAGAATTTTGCCAGGAACCAAAGTCAAACTCACTGGCATATAGTTTGCTTAGTCTACTCTTTTCCATTTTTAGAAAATTTCCATTCTTTGAAAAGATCATGGAGAATGGCTTAGTAATCACACCTAACGATAGCGTGGAGTTCTTCTGAATCTGGTGATTTGAACTTGTTAAGGGCAGCTCTTATGAACTCCCTACTTATCATGAGTATCTCCTATTATTCATTTTGTTCTATCCTTTCCAGTCCAAAGACCATTCTCCTTAGCAGACAAAACCAAAGCTTCATGGGAGGTGAACGTCTTTTCTTGGGCCTCAGAAGAGCCTGTGTTCTACTGAATTGTTCCAGGGTCAGATGGGTAGGAAGTGGTAGGGTTGGGGCTAAAACCCCAAATCTTCTGATTCTTAGTCCAGCTCCACTTCTGCTATGCCATGCTGCAGGCGAATACCCTAAAGAAATGGGATTGGATCCTTTGGAATCAGTTCAGAAGCCTGAATTCCTAGATACTTTTTATAGCAATCAACAAACATTTGACTGAGTAGTAACAGTGAGCTACCTGCACTAGGGGATCTAGAAGGGGAAAGGTTGTCACTGGACTTTCGTGTCCTGTTATTGACCCTCAAACATGGATTTGGGGAGACGGATTAAACATCAGTAATTTCAAAAAGAAGAGGTGGTGCCAATCCGGGCCCCTTGTCCGCCCTGAGGATGTGGCCCTGGATCCTATGGCTTATTAGTAGGATTTCTGAGCCAAAGAACAGAGGTTGTCGCTGCAAAGGAACTATGATGTATAAGTATCTAATTGTCTCAGACAATTAGTGAAACTTAGTGAAATTACTGTTAATGAAAAGGTACAGGTTCAAAATCATTTGTATGTTTCACAAAGCAGTCAAAGTACAAATAATTGCAGTCTCCTTCCCCATGCGGCCCTTCCTACTCTTCTACTCTAATTGCAGCTCTCTGGTAGTTTGGTTTCCATAGTCACTCCATTGGCCCTTCATTCTACTGAGCTTATCCACAGCCAGGAAATTACCCCTAATGAGTTTGACAATGTGATCACCAGTCTGCTGGGAGTGTGATTGAGTTCATTTCACACATGCCGTTGATTGCTATCATAGTATGTCAAGAGTCCTGGTTGCTGAAATTGTCTTTCAGATCCACACAATGAACAAGAAAGTATGCTAACAGCTATTCCATCGCCATTTAAAGAAACATTTATCAAATCGAGCTGGTTTCAAGAATTTCAAATTGCAAATAGAAGAGGATATAAGATAGGCTTTTGTAATTATGAGGGTGCTTGAGAAATCTATAGTGTCATTATGGCTTTGAGTCCCAAGTCTCATATATATGGTTTGTGTGACTGTTGGCAAGTCACTGAAATTCTCAGTGCCCAGACAACTCTTGGAGACAAACTGTCCGACTGAATTAGTAGAGGGAGTTTTCACAACAGGGAGTTCCTCACACTGATGACATTGTACCTCCTCCACCCTGAAAGGGGCTGTGCTTAGTGACTTAGCAATTACTATCTCTATTGATGGATTAATCCATTATTATTAGCTTGTATTCCCTGGCATTTATAACATTAAATTATTGAACAGTTGGGTGAAAAAGTTGCTTTATATTCTAACAGTGTAAACTATGAGACCCATTTGCTAATTGATTTTCTGGTTAGACTTCTATTACCCAAGTCTAATCGTTTATCTAAGAGTTTTGCCTTGATTAAGAATATTATTCTTGAAATGAAGGTGTCTTATAATTTTACAAAGTCTTGTATTTAATTAATCAATCAACCAATTAATAAAATAATTTTTTTAAGCTCTAGGCTTAGTGCTATGTGCTATACCAGTAAAAATATGAAAACCTTTGTTCAAGATTGACTATCTTAATTAAATGCCCAGTCTTGAGAATAGAAAGATAAGCAGAAGCTTTGCTTACAGTTTTGCTTTATTTTCGTTACTGTGGACAGTGAGAGAGGCAGAGTAGCAGAGTGGCATTATAGTTAGAGAGCAGGCTTTGAAGCTAGGAAGACCTTGGGTTCTAGTCTTACCTCTGACACAGACTGGTTGTGTGACCCTGGGCAAATCACTCAACTTGTCAGGGCTCTGAGACCATAAGTTGCAGGAAAGTTGTTGGCTTGCATTGGTAGAAGGACTTCTCTCTTCTGGGAGTTCCCTATATCAGTAAAATCATCGATCCAGTTCCTCATTTAACTGTGAACATTAGCTGGTATGACAGTCTGGGGCAGATTAGCCTTTTACTGGGGCAACTGTCCTGTCATGGAAATGGGGCTTTTAGTAGAAAGAAACAGAAGGAAGCCTAAATCTAGTGTAGATGTTCCCCCATACTTTAGGTCCCTCTGTGCATTCTCTTTACTAAATATCTTCTACTAGCATTGCTTTGTTTTGTTATTGAAGGCCATTTTCTTTAAGGTTATCACACTAAGAATACAAATTAAATACATTCTATTTGGGACAAGTTAAGGTTCTTTATAACTTGAATTTTTTCTTACAGTGTTAATTGTGCAATTGTGCATGTTAAATATGTGCTGTGGATTTAAGTTGAAGTTGTTACTTTTTTCATTTCCTGGTGTGTTTTACTATAGATTTTTGAAATTCAATTTCCTATGTTTTGTTTTTTGGGGTTTTTTTGGGGGGGAGGGAGAACAAGACTAAAATCGTGGAAAAAGAACCAGGTAAGTAGATACATTTGTAGAAGCATTTGTATGAATCACACACACACACACACACACACACACACACACACACACGATCTGTTATTTTGAATGTTTCATTACTACACAGATATATCAAAGAGTTTTGGATGGAAGGAGAAGGCTTCTTAGTGTCTCTTATTAAGTTTGTGATGTATATGCTTCTGGAAGCATTCTGGTAAGGGCACTAATTAGTGGCCCCATTCTCATCTCTCTTTTTTCTCTTGCTATCAGAATATTCCCTTTAACTTCATCATTCTTACAGATTTGTCTAGCTCCCTAATCACTATATGACCTAATCACTATATGTAATTTGTCTGAGATACCTTCTGGGTGTTCCATGTGGAGATAAGCTGCCATGGGCTCTCCCCGAAACTAGTGAGAAATTCCTTTTTTTTCTGCCTCATACTTATTACCTCTGTAATGCCATCAGTTTCAGAAAAGTCAAAATCATAGTAGATCCCTCACTGATAGACAAGCCCCACCGAACTAGAAATTCTTTGACAAACTTGACCTTGTTCCCCTTTCTACTTCCAGGGGTTGCAGGACTAGAGGTCCCTTTCCCTTAGCTACCTTGGAACTTCTCAGTAGCAGATATCAAACCCCAAATCAGTTACACAACTAGCCTTCACTGTTTGTACTCTCCCAGTGCTGGGCCAAAACAGAAACTCTGTAGAATTAGTTAGGGTGAAGTATTATTTCGTCAACTATTTGGCCTTGAACATTCAACACTTTGTCAGAAATTATAGCAGCATTAGACAATAGAAAAGCGAGTTCTCTTTTTTTCCCCCGCATATCATGAAGAATGTGTTCTTTTTGCTATGTACTGTTTGTTATGAGGCCTGAGTTGTTTGCAAAAATGATACTTTTCCAATGGCTCTGTGATGTTGCCAATATGAGTACTCCCTGTACCAGTGCAGATCACAACTAATCTGTGCCTGCCCATCCTGGAAACTCTTGTCCATGTCCTCTCTTTAATCTGTCAATTAAAGTACAGAGCCTTCCTCTGCAATGCAGAGGAATTCAATATTGAATTGCTTCTAGTTTGCTTGGGTCTAACTATTTTCCCTCTTATTTTTCTCTTACTTTCAGATTGTCTTGGTCACAAGCCCATACCCACCTGCTGCCACTACAATGAGTGGGAAGTCCCTGCTCCTAAAGGTCATTCTCCTGGGGGATGGTGGAGTTGGGAAAAGCTCCCTCATGAACCGTTATGTAACCAACAAATTTGACTCTCAGGCTTTCCACACTATAGGTGTGGAATTCCTAAATCGAGATTTAGAAGTCGATGGTCGCTTTGTGACCCTCCAGATCTGGGACACTGCGGGTCAGGAGCGTTTCAAGAGCCTCCGAACACCGTTCTACAGAGGAGCGGACTGCTGCCTCTTGACCTTTAGCGTGGATGACAGGCAGAGCTTTGAAAATCTTAGCAACTGGCAGAAAGAGTTCATCTATTATGCAGACGTGAAGGACCCTGATCACTTCCCCTTTGTAGTCCTAGGTAACAAGGTAGACAAAGTCGAAAGGCAAGTGACCACCGAAGAGGCACAGGCCTGGTGTTTGGAGCATGGGGATTACCCCTACCTAGAAACGAGTGCCAAGGATGACACCAATGTCACAGTGGCCTTTGAGGAAGCAGTGAGGCAGGTCCTGGCGGTGGAGGAGCAGCTGGAGCATTGCTTGCTGGGCCATACTGTTGACCTAAACAGCAGCTCCAAGGCTGGATCTTCATGCTGTTAAGGCCACAGCTTCTAGAGAAGTAGACCCCAACATTGATTTGTCAATAGTATAAGGAGAGATGACTTCCAGGTGCATCCAAGAGTGTCCAGAAAAGGGTAGTTAGATGTTACTGTTGACTGTCAATCAGAGCCTTTCAAATTGAAGTTGGGAGTTGAGAAGAAAGAGCTTTATGGGGAGCAAGCCAAATGTATTTGTGTGTGATTTCTGCTATTTTCCCTTCCTGCATATATCAACCAGGGCCTTCAAGGAAGATTTAGGTCTTGAATGAATTACATAGTTTCACATTTGCAGTATTAACCCAGAACCCGCTGTGAAAATGAGGCTTTCAGCAACATGGAGTTGGAGAGCTACAGGTATCACTGAAAGTGTTTCCACTAATGAACTGAAAAAGGTTTCCATCAAACTTTTTGAAAAGTAGTTCCTCACATTTCTGCCAAAGGAAAGACATGAGTCTTGAGCTGTGTTGCAACAAAAGTAGTGATGCTTCGTAAGGCTGGCATGCCTAGAAATGCAGATTTGTAACAATGTATGTTGCCTTGTTGAAACCCTTCTATATATTTTTCTCCTGCTCTGAGCCTTTCAAAGTATACCACCTCAATGCAAGACAGACTCATGCCACTGGAAACAGTATACTCCTTTTGTTTGAAATGAATAGATTCCGTTCAAATAGTCCAACCTTCTTTGGAGAGAAATGGTTGATCTGCCTTTACTTTGCACCCTTGCTGCATAGAGATGTCGCTTCCGTGTCAGCCTTTCATCAATGGAAGAGTTCTGCCTGATCTTCCTAACAATGAGTGTCTTTAGTCAGGATTCACTGCATTCGGCTCGGGTGCTCTTTTTGGCCATGAGAATAAGCTCATCGGGAAGGCCATTAGAAAGAAGTGAGAGGATAACAAGTCTCCCACCTGAAGTTCTTTGACTCCAAGTATTTGAAGATCTTTCCACGTAGAAGAGGAAACTTACTTGTCCTGCTGCTCCAAGAGGCAAAACTACAACCAAAGGGTTAAAGTTACAAGAAGGAGAAAAACTTTTTTGCTATGGGAGCTATCCACCAGTGGACTGGACTGCCTTGAGAGGGCCTTGTCACTTCAAGGCATTCAAGCAGGGGCTGAGTAACAACCTATCGGAGATGCTATAGAAGGGATTCCCTTACTGAGTGAGAGGTTGAATGCCATCGACTCTCAGCTCTCTTCCAACTCAAAGTCCTCTGACTCCATAATGTATGTTTCAGTGCCATGTAATTACAGGTTTGTCATGGGCTGGCAGCTCAGGCCCAAGAGGGCAATATGCTAATGTCTTAGTCTGCTTTAGTCTTAAAATGCTGCTTTCAAGTGGTTTGTCTTTAACAGCAACTGGTCAGTTAATTCTTTTTGCTTTTGGACAATGGCAGGGGAAAGTCTCGAACTCTAAGTCATCTTAATGTGTCCTAACGTAAGCATTGTGAAGAGAAAATACATACGTACAACAGGGCTTGGCCAACTTTCGGTCATAGTGGCTGCTGGCTCTAAACCACATTATTGGAATTTATAGTCCAGAACCTAGTTTTTATTGATTGATCCATTTGTCCATGTAGTTCTTATTCTGTAAATCCATGCTCTCTTTGATAAATATCTAACCCCAAATTGTGAATTACTTATAGAAACTACCAGTAAAGGGATTTTTTTTCCTGAGGGCAACTTTCACAACAGTACAGCCTATCCTCTGTAATAGTTACATAAAAAAGTTCACCTATGCAGAGAGGCTTACCTGGTCCAAAAGGCCAAGACTTCCAAAAACATGAAAATGGAATGACCTGATCGCACCCAAATCTTCAATTAAGGTATAGAGCTGACCCCATTACCCAGAGTAGCCTTAATGTTGAATGTCAGAACCAGAATTAGCCCTCTCCACTTCCCCCCAGCTCTTAAGTCTAGGCTCCTGCACTGACTTCACCCACAGCCACCAATACTGGTTTTCAAGTCGTATGATCCAACTGCAGCAGTCACATTAAGCTGGAAATTTTCAAGTTGCTGTAGTCAGAACTAGTCATTGTTAATGCTCATTTTTGAAAAGTGCATGGGATATGGGCCCTCTCTTTGTATTTGCATTCTGTTTATGATCGCTTCCATTTGTAGATCTTAGGCCTTTATAAAGACCAACATGGACTGACTCCCAAAGGACTTGCTTCTGTTATGGTAGCATATGGTTTGTTGACTAAAAATCACATAAATTGAATGTTCTTGGGCCTGCTTTCTACCCAAGACAAATGTTAATCATCTTGATGGATCAACTGAAGCCTCATTTCTCTTCACCGTTGCCATACTAATTTCCCTGCCAAGTAAATTCGTGATCTCTTAATGAAAGTACTTAATTGTGATTCAAGCAGTGGCATTCTGATGTGCAACACCCAATGGGCTGCTAATGTATAGTTTGGCTACTGTAGAGAAAGGCTAATTTAAGCCCCAGAAACTGTGCAGAAAGGGCTAGTGATTGATGATATTACTCTGGAATATTTAGTGTTGATGGTTTGGGTTGTCTTTTTTTTCTGTTTTGGCTTTTGTTTTTAAGGAACACTAGATTTTTTTAAAATGACATTCCTCATTAGAACTACATATGGTTTTTTTTAAATGGTCCATTAAAATGTCATACCAAATTTTTGTTTAGTTCATTTTTCTGTATTAAAAGAAAATTCCAGGGGCTTCAAAATTCAATTTGTGCCTGCCTTGGCCATCTCAATTTTGCCCTATGGCAATCCACACTCCTTGTTGCTGGTGCTGCTAAAAGTCTCAAGAATTGTGTTTCAGGTGTTTTGATTCAGCTATTAAAATTCATCTGTGTTAAAGTGAATTTGTGCAATCTTGTGTTTTTGTTACCTTTGCAATAACCAGGGGTGGGGAACCTGCGGCCTTGAGGCCACATGTGGCCTTCTAGAGTCCAAGTTTTACAGAACAAATCCTTTTTATTAAGGGGATTTGTTCTGTGAAGTTTGGATTCAGTCAAGGGGCAGCACTTGAGGACCTAGAGGGCCACATGTGACCCTTGACCAAGACTGTAGTAAACTTGTCCAAGTTCATTTTTTTGAGCAGCAGGTAAGCCTAAGCAATGTTGCCTTAACTCGAAAATCATAGATTCATGGTGATTTGATCCAATCTCCTTATTTGACAGGAATGGAAACTGAAGCCCCAAGGGGTTACCCTCATTCCAGACCCAAGGGTACACTGCTGGGATTTGAACCCAGGTCCTCCGACTCCAAAGGTACTCTTTCCACTGTGCCACACTGGAAAATTGCTGCTTATTGTTCAGCCCACAGGAAATAAAAACAAAAAGGGTTTGAGGTCAATTTTATGTTATCTCCTAATGAATTAGTTGGTGTGGATTGATAACATGGTGTGGTGGAAAGAACAGAGGACCCAGTTTCAAATCCAAATCCTGGCTCTACAACTTATGAGCTGTGTCATCTTGGCCAAGTCACCTAACTTCTCTGGGCCTCAATTTTCCCAATTGTAAAATGAGAGGTTTAGACTAGATGGTTTCTAAAATCTGTAATCTAGGAACTGAAGCTTTTTCTCCTGGTCTTTATTGTAATTTAAAATAAAATATTAAATCACTATAAAATATAAATACACTATTAAATATAAACATTCCACCTGCTTATTTTCTTAATGCCTAATCATTCCCATTCTCATAGTGCTTTTCTCATGGTGACCCTGTGAAATAACTGGTACCAATATTATTATCTCTACTTCACAGCTGGGGAAGCTTCTCCAAGAGGCTAAATGACTCACCTAAGGTCATCCAGCCAATAAGGAACAGAGGGAGGACCTGAATTCGGGTTTTCTGAAACCAGGTTCTATATTCTTGCTACTATCACTAACCTAGTACATACTGATGGTATTTTGGTTCATACCTTCTGATCAATTAGAAAAATAAAGTATAAGCAAGACCAGACAAAAAACTCTTCATGTTGCCTTTGGATGCTGGATTAGGAGTCAGAAGACCTGGCTTTAAATCTCAGCACTGCCACTTACTAGCTACGTGACCTTGGGTAGGTCACGTCCCCTCTTGGAGCCTATGTGTTCTCTGGAAAATGAGGGGGTTAGACTAGATAACCTTTTCAAGGTTCATTCCAGCCCTAAATGTATGATTCTGCAATTTTGCGTCTCTAAAGATATCTTCATCAGAACACATTGTACTTGCTAGTGACTTTAAAAATCCCATCCTTTCTCCCTTCAGGACACAAATCCCAGCACAGTGGATAATTTAGCCCTTCTACATTCTTTCTATCAAAATCTCTTATCTTCTTCCTGCCTCTCTTCTCTGTATTAAAATGTTGGGCAAGTGAAATCTCATGAAAGACCCAATTCTGCCACAAGAGCAATTTTCAATGTAATCCTCCATGCAATTGAGAGTGGGGGTTAACTCTTATATTAGTAGAACCTACCAAATCAAGGGTACTGAGGATTCCAAGAGGCAGAGGTGAGGAATGTTTAGATCAATCCCAATTTCTTAGAGAAAAAGATCAAAATATTTTTTATGTTTTGTGAAAATTTATCTGCTCATTCCTCCCAATTAGATCCTAAATTTGGGTATCTGTTCTAAGAGTGTTTGTGGATAACACAGCTCCAGGGAACTGGGTGTCCATTCTTTGTGTAGCTCTGATGCCGAGAGTGACCTTGGCCTAGAGAGACTTGTAATTGGAGCTATCCCTGATATTCCTCTCTCATATTTTACTTCTGGTTAAGGCTTAAGGGGTGGGGAACCTGAGGCCTCGAGGCTACATGTGGCCCTCCAGGTCCTCAAGTGCTGCCTGTTGACTGAATCCAAACTTCACAGAACAAATCCCCTTCATAAAAGGATTTGTTCCGTAAAACTTGGACTCGGTCAAAAGGCCGCACGCAAGATGGCTTATAAGCCATCTTCTTGTAGTAAATACATAGGCAGCAACAGAACCTGGAAGTGCCTTTTGACCCCTCAGTGCTGCCTAATTTACAAAGGTCATCTGCTCTTCTTCGGTTATTCCTGTTCGCCACCGCCTGGTGAATCTCCATCCCTACCAGTACCTCTGAATTTCCTTTCTCCTTTCCATTGACTAGCAGTCATTGGCCTGGCCTTCAAGGTTTATTGCTAGCTGCTAACTACTTTGCCTGATTTGGAGGAGGCTGGTTTAGGGAAACCCTAGGTTTTTGTAGCTGTTTTCAGAGGTATTTCTGGGGACCTGTAAGTTTTTGGGTCTTCCCAGGTGGTATTGTTGTGGTCTAGGAATGCTAGGAACCCCGAAATGTGAGAGTGCAGGGCGCAGGTCTACCTCAAAAAAATTCGACCACTCAAGCCTTCTTTCAGTCCAAGTGGTGAGTTTATTGTAACACCAGTAGAAGTGGGCCAGACTCCTAGTGAGTCTGTGCTGTTTGTGATGCCAATACAAGTGGGCCACATTCTTAAGGAATCTGTGTGTTTGATGAGGATAAAATTGGTGCTTTTATACAGAAAGACTGGGAAGATCTGGATGGCATTAAGGAGTGGCAAGTAGCCTGGAGTGGGCCAAGTGAAGACAATGAGGGCCACAATAAAAGGGCAGTTAAAAGGATTATTGATTGAGATGAGCGAAAACCAGGGGTCTGGGTTCAGGGGCTGGGTTCCTGAAATTTGTGGGAAAGTTCAGGGGCTTTTCCTTTTAGGGATCCAGCACGAATCCCATCCCCCATCAGTATGATCTAGGGAGAGGTGTGTTTACTGCTCTCTTGGTCTGTATGCTGGCTTGTGAGTGACCACAAGTACTCTTTTCAGCCCTGGAACTGTGACCAGGGTCCCTGCTCCCCTGCAGCCATGAGCTCTGCTGTGCTAGTGCTCCTCCTCACACTGGGACTAAGACCCAGGACTGTGACCCATATCCAAGTACAGAGTCCTGCCCCTGGCACCAGCAAAGAGATCCTTGGAAATTTCCTTGTGACCCATTGTCTGATCCATTTACCATCTGTAGGCTGAGAGGTCTGGACATCGCCACTGCTGCCACTGATTCAGTTGCCAGGAGGTCTGCTCCTGGTTTTCTGGGGTCCAGCCTGTGTTGGACTGTGCTCTTCTCTCACCCTGGTGCAACAGACCTTTCCAGCAGACCTTCTAAGTTATATTGGGCTGGAAAATTGTTTCACTCCATCTTTTTGCGGGTTCTGACACTCCAGAATTTGTGTAAAATCATTATTTAAAGTATTTGAAGGGGTTTGGGGGAGAGCTCTGGCCATTCCCTGCCTTTACACCACCATCTTGGTTCCACCCAGTTTCTTTGTCAGATCAGAGATTTCCTTCTATTTTCTCCTAGAGATCTCAAGTAAACCAATATAAATAAGGATAAAGCCTTAAGGCAGAGATTTTACCTTGAACAACACAAAGGATTCTAGTATTTAGCTGGGAGATTACAACTGTACCCCTGCTCTGTTTGGGAGTAGTAGAAAGGACATTGGATTTGGAGTCAGCAAGAATCTCGGTTTGAATACCAGTATAAGCACTGACTCTCTGTGAGATTCTGAGAAAGTCACTCCATCTCTTGGGGTATCTGTTTCCTTCTCTGCAAGATGAAGAAATTGGACTAATGGTTAAGAATGTCCCTTCCTGCTTGAAATCTGTGATCACTTAAGGCCATGGAAATCTTTTTGGGCAATTTCCTCCTTGCCTATGGAAAGTTCCTTGGTTTATTTTGAGAATTATTTGAGGACAAATCATTAGAAGCTGATGGATAAAGGGGGGGCCTAATGTTGAAACAGCAAAAACCCCAAAGCTTCACCTCACTTAGCAGCTGCCTTTTGTGAAATCTTGCTCTGGAGTTTTTCAGAAATAGGCCTTAGCACTGAAAACTCAAAACCAGTTTAGGCCTAGTCCTGCCCAAAGGCAGGCCATATGAAATCAATACTCTTTCTTCAGTCCTGTGTCTTTTTTTTTTCTAAAGAAGAATGGAGTACCAGGGCCCTAACCTGGATAAGGGGGCTGGAGGGTGGGGAGTGGGCAGCTGAGGAAGGCCCCTCTCTTTTATTAGGAAAGGGAGAGGAACTGTGATTTCATTTGAATAGAGGACTCCCAGGTGTGAAAGTCACCACCTCCTTTGCAATTTAGAGTCTTAGTTGCCTAGAGCAATAGGAAGGTAAGTGGTGTGACCAGGGTATATCTTAGAAGCAGGGCTCAAACACAGGTCTTCCTTGCTTCGGGGTCAGCTCTATCTATTATACCTCAGTATCTGTTTTTATTAAGATCATCAGGATAATTCAAGCAGGTTTCATAGTTTACCAGAATAATCGAGATTAGTGCCTGACCTTTCTTCCTCTTTATTGAAAGGTGACTTGTACTCACTGCAGAACATTTCCTAATAATAATAATAATAGCTAATGTTTATGTGATGATTTAAGATTTGCAGAGCACTTTACATATATTATCTAATTTGAGCCTAACAACAACATTATGATGTTGGTGCTACTATTACCCCATTTTACAGAGGAGGAAACTAAGGCTGAGAGAAGTTAAGTGACTCACCCAGTCACATAGCTTTGTAGAGTCTTGGGTTTTGAACTCAGATGTTCCTGACTCCTATTCCAACGTGCTATCTATATACCAGAGGCATCAAGCACAGGCCTCATGGGCCACAAGCCTCTCACAACAACCCCAAGTGAGACCTGAACCAGAAAAAAATGTAATTGGGAAACATTTAACAAAATAAATAAAAATGCAATAAAACATAGATAATATTACATTTTAAAACTAAATCAGTATATGGGCCACAGGGAACTCTCCGTACCATTTAGTCTACTCCCTTTCCCTTTGAGATTAACCACTGTACTCCACCACACTGCCTCTCCATCCTGACT